CGGAGTGCCTCGGGTTGGGCGCCGGCGCGGGGCCCGCAGTCACCCCGCGCTGAGGCGCTCGTTGAGGCCCCGCGGCCTCCCAGGAGAAGGGGCCATGGGCCAGTTTCACCCGCCGCCTGCCCTTGTTAGGAGAGCGGGGGACAACGGTGGGACCCCAGAGCTGCGCTGGCACCAGGTGGCTTGCTTGGCAAAGCTCCTGCCCTTGGGTGGAGCTGGTAGACATCTACCAAGCTCCTGCCCTTGGCTGGAGCCACCACACATCTACCATGGGAGCCGGTGGGCATCTCCCAAGCTCCTGCCTTTGCCTGGAGCTGCTGGACATCTACCAAGGGACTTCTACCAAGGTCCACCTACCAAGCTGGTGGACTTCTACCAAGGTGGTGTACCCGCAGACCCTGCACACCACCTCTGTGCTGGATCCAACCCACAAACTGAGCCTGCCTGTGGGAATTGGCTTGTGAACCAGCTCCATGCCACGCATCCAGCCTGCAGGGCTAGGGACCAGCCCCCAAGCCTGGACCACACCTGTTTAGCTTGCAGCGCAGCACCCGGGGAAGGCCCGGGCTCAGGTGTGGGGTTCTTAGCACTAGTGCAAGTGTACGCGCCTGCCAAATGGGGGCCCTTTCTCTCTGCAGGTTGCCTCCTCTTGAATTGCAACAAACCAGGCTGCTATTTCCCTGAAAGGGGGAGAGACAGAACTGCGCTATTGGTATTGCATCATGTATTAGTGACTTGTATTAATTAACTGGTGACTGCACTTCCTACCCAGTGATGAATCCCACCCAGTGAGCCAAGAACAGTAAACACTGATTAATCTTTTAGAGTGGTGTTACAGTAATAGCCTTAGAATATTCTATATATGTCCATAGCATTTTTCACCTCTCAGTATAAGTCTGAATATTGTGTGATCCAACAGTATTTGCCCTGAGATACTTTGAGGTTAAATACAGACAGTCAAAAAGCCTGAGGCTGAATCAATTCAATCTTTGCAGCAGAGATGACCCGAGCAGCGTGGGGGCCCCAGATGCAAGGAAGCCAGTGGCAGATTCGGCAGGGATGGGGGGTGCCAAGCAGCTGGACATGAAGCTGGTGGCAGCACAGACTTGCCACGGCTGCTCCGTCCGGCTCTGTGGGGCCTGGGGCGGGTGCACCAATTCACCCACCCCAGCGACGGCCCTGCTTTGCAGATAGTCTAAGCTGTGTAGATTGAACAGATAAGCAAGTGAACAGACATTCACTTTTGATTCTGGAAATGCAGCCACACATGCCTGCAGTGGCTCAGGCCAGAAGCCAGGCAGGGGGGCACTAGAGCACAGCTCCCTGTTTGGCAAACAGCTTGGGCCAAACCTAGCTGCCCATGGAGGTGCAAAGCTTCCTGGGTTGCTGGGGGACTGTGAGTTAACTTGAATCTGGAGGAGCTCTGGGACAGAAGTTCAATAAACTGATTTAAGCTAAATCAGTTAAATTTGATACTGCACCCATCCAGGTTTATCTTCAACCAGTTTTGGCCATTTTGAAAGCAGTTTACGTGCACTGAACTTCTGTTGCGCTACAGATCTGAACCAGTTTCCAAACACTTATACCAGTTTATGTGTAAGTTCTGTCCCTAGCCTGAGGGTCTTAATAGCTCCATCCTGATCCAAATACGGATGGTTCTCAACACTGGTATCTGAGTTCTGATGATCTGTGGCACAAAGATTTTAATCTCAAGTGATCACTGGGAGTACTGTGGTCTGTTCCAACCTGAAGTGCTTCTGTCAGTCCACATTTCTAGTGCTTCCAAGCAGGTTGTTCATGTTACCTAAGCATCTTGCAAGCAATCTGTCAGAAGCACATCAGTTCCAAATCAAAAAAAAAATTATGGTATGGTGCACTGAGAGCTGAAGCACAGTGACAGAGTGGATCAAGTGTCTTACTATGGATCTGCAAGCCAGAGTTTAAACGTCATTTTAGACTCATGCCAAAGGTAACCCCCAGGCAATGCAGATGTAAATCTGTCTGGTAATTGGAGTCAAAGAGCTGAAGGTGGCCAGAAGTGATGCCAATCACATAATCCCTTTGTGTGCCATTGGCTACACAAACTCGTGTGTTTTAATCACATAAACTTGATGAAATATGTAGGTTTTGGACAGGCCTTGCACTGAGGTTCAAGTGGATCCCTGTGTGTCCTAGCATAAAGACTGCTTAACTGCCTTCTTCACTTGTGTGAATGTGACCAAGTGACTATCTATATCCAGGGACATGTAGCAGCTGTTTTGGCAAATTAGGTTCATTATTAATCAAAGACTGAGCACAATCCATGTGGCTTCATATAGTTAGGTTCAGTAGTGCTTCTCTATTAAAAAGTCTTATAATATAAATGTGCTACTGGACAATCATTGAAAATTCCTTTAAAAAATTCCAGTCCTGAGAATTTAAACTGTTACCTAAAAGGCCATTTCTGGTAGCAGTGACTCAGCTCATAAAAGTGAGCTTCAGCCCCTAGTGATGGACTCATCTTAGACTTGATTGAAAAGGCTGCAGATTCACCCAAGAATACCTTCCCAAGGACGCTAGAGTTCCATACAAATAAATTCATCAACCGGCCAATATCTTGCAGCACTTGCATGCCCATCCTGGGGAAGCCCCATGTCAAAAGCCCCATGCCATCATTCCCTGAAGCTGTATTTGGCATAATCTATCACACTTAGAAATGCCATTCCCATTCTTGTTTTGTTTTGGACATATTCCTGGGCAATGCTGTTTCCAAACCCCCCCCCCCCCCCCCCCCCCCCACAAGAGCAAAACATC